AGGCTCCACACCCATTTGCCCCACTCAGGTGACCCTGAGGACACAGAGAAACCCCCAAGTGGCCTCAACGACCCTCTCAAAGGGTGCAAATGACCAGCTTTGTCTGCAAGGAGTATCAATCCTTCCCGTCCCCACCATCCACTCAAAGAGTTTTGAAGAAACTTCTTGGATGAGAAGCGAAACCAGAAAGTCCAGTTGCTGATGGAGAATCTCTCCAGATTTTTTAACTCCAATTCTGAATAAACCCAATCGTTGTGATCCAGGTTGATGGGAACTGGAGTCCCACCACAACTGGACGGCAGGGGTTTGCTCCTCTTTTTGGATTAACGGTCTGTGGGGAGGGGGGGAGCCTTGAAGCCCAGTGTAGCCTTCACCCTCGAGGGTGATCAGAGGGTCTTCATATGGGGCAGGAGGTTATTGAGAGCAAGGGGTGGGGGGTTTCATTTTCCCAAGGGGCTGCATGGGAAAATGGGATTGTTCGGGGGGGGGGCGGGCTGAGAAAGTGCAAAGGATAGGGGATTCTGGGAATTGAAGCCCAGGCATCTTAAAGGGGCCAAAGTTGAGTCGCCCTGATTTAGAATGCCAAGAATGGCTCCTGGGAAGAGACCGGAGAGAGTTTCACTCACTTCTGAAGGCATCTAGACAGGGTTGCAGAAAAGCTACGGTTCCCTGATTTCTTCTCTCTGTCTCTGTCTCTCTCTCTCACCTCTGTGTGTGTCAGTGTGTGTGTGTGTGTGTGTTTGTGTGTGTGTGTCTCTTCCTTCTCTTTTTATCTGTCTCTCTATCTCTGCCTCAGTCTCTCTTCCTTCTCTGTCTGTCTGTCTCTCTCTTTTTCTCTCTCCCTCTTCCTTCTCTATCTCTGTGTCTCTGTTTCTCTGTCTCTCTCTTCATCTGTCTGTCTCTGTCTCTCTTTTTCTTCTTTCTCTCTCTCTCTCTCTTTCTCTATCTCTGCCTCTGTCTCTCTTCCTTCTCTCTCTCTGTCTCTCTCTCTTCCTTCTCTTTTTATCTGTCTCTCTATCTCTGCCTTGGTCTCTCTTCCTTCTCTGTCTGTCTCTGTCTCTCTTTTTTTTCCTTCTCTCTCTCTCTCTCTCTCTCTCTCTCTCTCTGCCTTTGTCTCTCTTCCTTCTCTATCTCTGTGTCTCTGTTTCTCTGTCTCTCCCTTATCTGTCTGTCTATCTCTCTCTTCTCTCTCTCTCTTCTCTGTCTCTCTTCTCTGTCTCTGTTTCTCTGTCTCTCACCTCCTCTCTCTCTGCCTCTGTCTTTCTATCTGTCTCTCTGCCTTCTTTCTGTCTC